CAAACATCACCATGGCGACGTCGTACAAACATCACCATAGCGACGTCGTACAAACATCACCATGGCGACGTCGCAAACATCACCATGGCGACGTCGTACAAACACCATGGCGACGTCGTACAAACATCACCATGGCGACGTCGTACAAACATCACCATGGCGACGTCGTACAAACATCACAGGCATCAAACATCACCATGGCGACGTCGTAACACATCACCATGGCGACGTCGTACAAACATCACCATGGCGACGTCGTTAAACATCACCATGGCGACGTCGTACAAACATCACCATGGCGACGTCGTACAACATCACCATGGCGACGTCGTACAACATCACCATGGCGACGTCGTGCAAACATCACCATAGCGACGTCGTATAAACATCACCACGGCGACGTCGTACAAACATCACCATGGCGACGTCGTACAAACATCACCATGGCGACGTCATCAAACATCACCTGCGACGTCGTACAAACATCACCATGGCGACGTCGCTACAAACATCACCAGAGCGACGTCACAAAAACATCACCATGGCGACGTCGTACAAACATCACCATGGCGACGTCGTACAAACATCACCATACGACGTCGTACAAACATCACCATGGCGACGTCGTACAAACATCACCATGGCGACGTCGTACAAACATCACCATGGCGACGTCGCAAACATCACCATGGCGACGTCGTACCAAACATCACCATAGCGACGTCATACAAACATCACCATAGCGACGTCGTACAAACATCACCATGGCGACGTCGTACAAACATCACCATGGCGACGTCGCACAAACATCACCAGCGACGTCACAAACATCACCAGAGCGACGTCGCACAAACATCACCATAGCGACGTCGTACAAACATCACCATGGCGACGTCGCAAACATCACCATAGCGACGTCGTACAAACATCACCATAGCGACGTCAGCAAACATCACCATGGCGACGTCGTACAAACATCAATGGCGACGTCGTACAAACATCACCAGGCGACGTAAAACATCACCATGGCGACGTCGTACAAACAGCACGCAAATCACAGGCGACGGCACAAACATCACCATGGCGACGTCGTACAAACATCACCATAGCGACGTCGTATTAAACATCACCATGGCGACGTCGCACAAACATCACCATGGCGACGTCGTACAAACATCACCATGGCGACGTCGTACAAACATCACCATGGCGACGTCGCAAACATCACCAGACGACGTCGTACATCACCATGGCGACGTCGTACAAACATCACCATGGCGACGTCGTACAAACATCACCATGGCGACGTCGTACAAACATCACCATAGCGACGTCGTACAAACATCACCATGGCGACGTCACAAACATCACCATGGCGACGTCGTACAAACATCACCATGGCGACGTCGTACAAACATCACCATGGCGACGTCGTACAAACATCACCATGGCGACGTCGTACAAACATCACCATGGCGACGTCGTACAAACATCACCATAGCGACGTCGTACAAACATCACCATGGCGACGTCGCTAAAACATCACCATGGCGACGTCGTACACACATCATCACTATGGCGACGTCGTACAAACATCACCATGGCGACGTCGTACAAACATCACCATGGCGACGTCAGAAGAAACATCACCATGGCGACGTCGTACAAACATCACCATGGCGACGTCGTATAAACATCACCAGCGACGTCGTACAAACACATCACCATGGCGACGTCGCAAACATCACCATGGCGACGTCGTACAAACACCATGAAGCGACGTCGTACAAACATCACCATAGCGACGTCGTACAAACATCACCATGGCGACGTTAGGCCAAACATCACCATGGCGACGTCGTACAAACATCACCATGGCGACGTCGTACAAACACCACTATAGCGAGGCTGTACACACATTATCACAGCAAGTCACAGGTACGACTCCCACGACAAGGCTGGGGAGTCGTAATGAGAGAGAAAGTTGTTACGAGAGGGAAGCGGAGGAGGGGGGGAAGGGGAGGAAGGATTGAAGTGGAGGGGGGAAGGGGAGAAGGAGGAAAGGCAGTCACACACACGATTACCTCCCTCTCTAACTCTCTCTCTCCCACCCCCTAACTCTCTCTAACTCTCTCTTCTCCACCCCCCTCTTCCCATCAATCAAAGGTCTGATGGCTGCTGTTATAATAGGTCGATCAGCACACACACACACACACACACACACACACACACACACACACACACACACACACACACACACACAAAGCGCCTTGTGAGTGTCTGTTTGTTGTCTTCCTGTCTAGCTCACGAGGACTGTCTGTCTGTCTGTCTGTCTGGGCAATTTGCTCATCGTTTTGGTGCCCTTCTAACCTTCGCAACGGTGAAAGGGGAAGGGGTGAGGAAGAGAAAGGGGAGAAGGGGAGAAAGGAAGAGGAAGGATGAGAATGAACAGGAGAGGTAGAAGAACTAAGGAGGGGAGGGAGAAGGAAAAGGAGAACAGAATGCAGAAGGGAGGGAGAGGGGAAGGGAGAGGAGGAAAGTGAGGAATGGAGAGGGAGGAAAGTGAGGAATGGTTGACAGGAATGAGAGACGTTTTCATACCCGCTGTCACAACTTAGCGATTTCCCCCCCCCCATCTCCCCCTCCCACACCCAGGCCCCCTCCCACACCCAGGCCCCCTCCCTCACTCAGACCCCACCCCCCCTCAAGTGCCAAAGGTGCCACTCAAAGTTAGTTGTTGGTGGCGCTCGCTGTCACTTCTTAGACTGACAGCTGGTATGGTCATGTGATGCTTGTAAACTGAAAGCCAGCCACGTCTTGGTGAATGAGAGAGAGAGAGAGAGAGAGTTAGACACACACACGCCGTTAACTACAGTATATACAAGTCCATGTTTAGCCGTAAGTACTGTCCGTCCAGGCACTAGCTGTACTGACCACACACACACACACACACACACTATAAAATAACATCACGTACTGGTAACACTGTAAACATCACGTACTGGTAACACTGTAAACATCACGTATTGGTAACACTGTAAACATCACGTACTGGTAACACAATATCATAAGAAAATAAGGAGTCTGCAATAGGCCGGTTGGCCTGTGCATGGCAGCTCCTGTCGAGAGTTACTACCACTCTCTATCATCCATGAATCTATCCAGCCTCCTTTTAAAACTCTCCAGCGTTCCAGCACTTACTACAAAATTGCTAAGCTTGTTCCACTCGTCCACCACCCTATTTGTGAACCAGTTCCTTCCTATCTCCCTCCTAAACCTAAACTTATCCAACTTAAATCCGTTGCTACGAGTCCTATCCTGCTCGGATATTATAAGAACTTTATCTATGTCTCCTTTATTGATTCCTTTCACCCACTTAAATACTTCTATCATATCTCCCCACACTCTTCGTCTTTCTAGGGAATGCAAGTTTAGGTTCTTTAACCTATCTTGATATGGAAGGTTTCTAAGTCACGGAATCGTTTTCGTCATTCTTCGCTGCACCGACTCCAGTGAATTTATATCCATTCTATAATAGGGGCACCAGAACTGAACCGCATAATCGAGGTGCGGCCTGACTAGCGCAAGATATAGTTGCAATAAGATCTCTGCACTCTGATTACTTACACTTCTAGATATAAAACCTAATACTCTGTTTGCCTTATTTCGAACATTAACGCACTGTTTTCTAGGCCGTAGGTCCGGGCTTACAAATACCCCTAAGTCTCTTTCACAAGTCGACTTCTCTAGGTTGATGTTGTTAAGGCTGTATACATTGACAGAATTAATCTTCCAATATTAAGTACGCTGCACTTGCTTGTGTTGAATTTCATTTGCCATTTTTCTGACCACTCCTGCAGTTTATTTAAAGCCCCCTGTAGTGCATTTGCATCCTGCCCTGAATTAATCTGCCGCCCTATTTTGGTGTCATCCGCAAACTTGCTTATGGTATTGCTGATCCCAGTCTCTAGATCGTTTATGTAGATTATGAACAAGAGTGGGCCTAGTACTGACCCCTGGGGAACCCCACTGGTTACACAGCCCCACTCAGATTTAACACCATCTACGGTGACCCTCTGTGCTCTCTCGGTGAGCCATGATTTTATCCAATTTAAAACTTTCCCCTTGATACCATGAGCCTTAACTTTTCTCAGAAGCCTCACGTACTGGTAACACTGTAAACATCACGTACTGGCAACACAGTAAACATCACGTACTGGTAACACTGTAAACATCACGTACTGGTAACACTGTAAACATCACGTACTGGTAACACTGTAAACATCACGTACTGGTAACACTGTAAACATCACGTACTGGTAACACTGTAAACATCACGTACTGGTAACACTGTAAACATCACGTACTGGTAACACTGTAAACATCACGTACTGGTAACACTGTAAACATCACGTACTGGTAACACTATAAACATCACGTACTGGTAACACTATAAACATCACGTACTGGTAACACTGTAAACATCACGTACTGGTAACACTGTAAACATCACGTACTGGTAACACTGTAAACATCACGCATTGGTAACACTGTAAACATCACGCATTGGTAACACTGTAAACATCACGCATTGGTAACACTGTAAACATCACGCATTGGTAACACTGTAAACATCACGCATTGGTAACACTGTAAACATCACGCATTGGTAACACTGTAAACATCACGCATTGGTAACACTATAAACACCATACCAAGACGTCATTGTACACAACATGTGGAAGAAGCACTGTAACTCCATAAACCATGTGGAAGAGGCACTGTAAGGTCCTCAGAACATGTGGAAGGGGCACTGTAAGGTCCTCAGAACATGTGGAAGAGGCACTGTAAGGTCCTCAGAACATGTGGAAGAGGCACTGTAAGGTCCTCAGAACATGTGGAAGAGGCACTGTAAGGTCCTCAGAACATGTGGAAGAGGCACTGTAAGGTCCTCAGAACATGTGGAAGAGGCAAAGGGTGGATAAGCGGGCGCCACATACCAGCGGCACTCCACAATAACAGGAGCAGTAATGCCAGCATCCTACTCGCCCAGCGGCCAGCCACTCACTGCGTCTCTAGTCCTGAACACCGCTTCTTCTCCCCCCCTCTCTCTCGCCTCCCTCCCCCTCCTCCCCCTCTACTACCTCACCTTCCACCCTCCCTCTACCTGCCTGTCTCGCCCTCCTTCACCCTTCCTCACCCTCCCTCTCTACTTCTTCACCCTCCTTCTCGGACCCCTCTACCCCCCACCTCCTTCCTTCCCTCCTGCTACCTGCCTGTCTCACCCTCCTTCACCCTCCCCGTCTCTTGTCCATCCTACTACCTCACCTCCCTCCCTCCCTCCTGGTCAACCCCTTCATGCTCCTTCATTCCTTCACCTGACCCCCACCTCCCCCTCACGCCTACACCCTCCCCCATACCCCCACACCTCCCTCCACACGCCCTCCTCCCCCCTCACGCCCACATACAGTGCGTGAGTGTCATAGGAAAAGGATGAGTGATTTTCATGACAACAGGGAGCAGTGGTCCTCCTTCACACTTGCTGTATCTCGTGATGACGCTACGCTCAGTCACCAGGGGAAGTGGTCACCTCCTGACTGCTCTACCGGTAAAAGTAACTCTCTCTTTCTCTCACTCACTCTCTCTCTCACTCCCTCTCTCTCTCTCTCTCTCTCTCTCTCTCTCTCTCTGTCATATCATCCCCCCCCCACACACACACACTAAGTACCTGTAATCAACGAAAATTTACACCTGAAATTGTACACGTTCACTCACATTCTCAGGCTCTCGTAAACTCAGGTGGATTTGTCTATATAAAGCCTTCAGTTAGGTTTGGTTAGGTTAGGTTTTTTTTTAGTGTTTTGATGTTAATAATGTTAATATGTGTTTAGGGTCTTATATCTCTCTTAACTGATTGGAATTTCACCCCTACATACATACATACATACATACATACATACATACATACATACATACACACATACACCATTTGTGAGGGAGTTACTGGATATTTTCTGTTCACCTCAGCGCAAGTGGTGGTTGAGGATGGTGGTTGATGGTGGTAGTTGTGGTTGGGTGTAGCTTGCCGTGAGCTTGTGTACGTGTCACTATTATTACCACCAGGGTACCGTAAACACACTCACCCGTAAAGAACCACTATTATTCTTGACCACAATCCGCAAGCTACGATCATTTTAACCACTATCCGATATGTACCACCATTTTCAACCACAATCCGTAAACTACCACAATTTTTGACAAGAATCCACCATCCTTGACCACCTACCACAACCTACCTACCACCATCCTTGACCACCTACCACAACCTACCTACCACCATCCTTGACCATCTACCACAACCTACCTACCACCATCCTTGACCACCTACCACAACATTACCTACCACCATCCTTGACCACCTACCACAACCTACCTACCACCATCATTACCCCCCCTCCTCCCTTCTTTAATGGTCACCGCAGTTGCAATACCTCTTTCTGCAACTTACTGCAACATGTGGCGGTGAAGGAGGTTGTTGCACACACACACACCTGGGGAGGGGAGGAAGGGAGGGAGGGAGGGGGAGGGAGGGGAGGGGAGGGAGAGATCGTCAGCTAGAACAGGACCCACGACCCAACTGTAATGACCATCTGAGGTCATTTATATCCATAACAGAGTCCTTCAGTGGTGGTGGTGGTGGTGGTGGTGGTGGTAGTGGTGGTGGTGGTGGTGGTGGTGGTGGTGGTAGTGGTGGTGGTGGTGGTGGTGGTGTTAGTGGTGGTGGTGGTGGTGGTGGTGGTGGTGGTGGTGGTGGTGGTGGTGGTGGTGGTGGTGATGGTGGTGGTGGTGGTGGTGATGGTGGTGGTGGTGGTGGTGTGGTTTATGTAGCGGCTTATAAGGAACACCTCCACTACCACCACTACCACCACTACCACAATCGATCTCCACCACCCTCCAGGGACCTACACGCTCTGTCAGCCAACTCCGGCCAACATTTTCTATGCGGTGCACACAACATACATCTGTGAGCCAAAGACCCCTCCTCAGTCCTCCTCAGTCTTTCTCAGCCTTCCCAGCCTCCTCATACCTCCCCATCATCCTATTCCTCTCCCCACCACCACCTCCTCTGACCTCACCACCACCTCCCCACCACCACCTCCCACCACCAACACCCTGCTCACCACCACCTCCCACCTCCTGTCCCACTCCCACCACCTCACTACCTCCCCACCTCTCCTCACCACCACCACCACCTCCCACCACCTCACTACCTCCCCATCTCCTCACCACCACCACCTCACCTCACCACTACCTCCCCCACCTCTCTCCCACCACCACCACCACATTTCACCACCACTGTTCTCCCACCTCCCTACCACCACACCTCACTTCCCACACTCAATCACTACCTCCCTCATTCTCTCCCACCACCACCATCACTTCCCCACCACTCACTGGCTCCCTCACCTCTCTCTCACCACCGGCTCACCACTTTCTCATCACCACCTCCTCACATTCTCTCATACTTACCATCACTACTTCCCTCACTCACTACTACCTCCCTCACTTTCTCCCACCACCTCCTTTTTCTCTATCTCCTCCCCGTGCCAATAAAGGTCCTGGATAACGAGGTAGTTTAGGTGTTAATATCGTGCTGTATAACTTAACAAGACACAATTACCCAACTGGAACTGTAAACTGTGTTCTCAATAACAGGGGGGGGGTGCCACATTTAGAGGGGGGGGTGAGGGGGAGGAGGTGAGGGGAGGAGGGGTGAGGGGGTGAGGGGGGTGAGGGGGTGAGGGGGAGGAGGGGTGAAGGGGGTGAGGGGGGGAGGAGGGTGAAGGGGTGAGGGGGTGAGGGGGTGAGGGGAGGGAAGAGGGGAGGAGGGGTGAAGGGGTGGAGGGGAGGAGGGGTGAGGGGAGAGGGGTGAGGGGAGAGGGGGTGAGGGGGTAAGAGGGGGGTGAGGGGGAGGAGGGGTGGGGAAGGGGGGGAGGGGGGAGGAGGGGTGAAGGGGGTGAGGGGGTGGGAGGGGGGTGGGAGGGGGGGGGGGAGGGGTGGGAGGGGGAGGGAGGGGTGAAGGGGAAGAGGGGGGGAGGGAGGGGGTGAGGGGGAGGAGGGGGGAGGGGAGGAGGGGTGAGGGGGGTGGGAGGGGGGGGGAGGGGTGAGGGGGGAGGGGTGAGGGGGGAGGGAGGGGTGAAGGGGGGTGAGGGGAGGAGGGGGTGGGAGGGGAGGGAGGGGTGGAGGGGGGGTGGGGGAGGGGGTGGGGAGGGGGGGGAGGGGAGAGGGGGAGGAGGGGTGAAGGGGGGGGGGTGGAGGGGGGGAAGGGGTGAGGGGGAGGGGAGGGGTGAGGGGGTGAGGGGGGTGAGGGGGGAGGGGGAGGGGGAGGAGGGGTGAAGGGGGTGAGGGGGAAGGGGTGAGGGGGAGGAGGGGTGAGGGGGTGAGGGGGAGGAAGAGGTGAGATGTTTGCTTCTTGTTTAAGTGTGTGTGTGTGTCTGTAGGTAAGGGAGTTGTGGGTGAAAATGTAGGGTGTGGTGCAGGGATGGGTGGCAGGGATGGGTGGCAGGATGGGTGGCAGGATGGGTGGCAGGGATGGGTGGCAGGGATGGCAGGATGGGTGGCAGGATGGTGGCAGGGCTGGGTGGGTGGGCAGGGATGGGTGGCAGGGATGGGTGGCAGGGATGGGTGGCAGGGATGGTGGCAGGATGGTGGCAGGGGATGGTGGCAGGGATGGGTGGGCAGGGATGGGGTGGTGCAGGGATGGTGGCAGGATGGGTGGCAGGGATGGGGTGGCAGGGATGGGTGGCAGGGATGGGTGGTAGGGATGGGTGGCAGGGATGTGGGTGGCAGGATGTGGTGGCAGGGATGGGGTGGCAGGGATGGGTGGCAGGATGGGTGGCAGGGATGGGTGGCAGGATGGGTGGCAGGATGGGTGGCAGGGATGGGTGGCAGGATGGGGTGGTAGGGATGGTGTGGCAGGGATGGGTGGGTGGCAGGGGTAGGTGGGTGGTAGGGGTGGGTGGGTGGCAGGTGGGTGGGTGGCAGGGTGGGTAACAGGGATGGGTGGTAGGTGGGTAACAGGGATGGGTGGGTGGGTGGTAGGGGTGAGTGAGTAACAGGGGATGGGTGGCAGGGGTGGGGTGGGCACAGGGATGGGTGGCAGGGATGGGTGGCAGAGATGTGGGTGGCAGGGATGGGTGAGTGACAGGATGGTGGCAGGGATGGGTGGGCAGGGATGGTGGGTGGCAGGGGTGGTGGGTGGGGTAACAGGGATGGGTGGCAGGGATGGGTGGTAGGGATGGGTGGCAGGGATGGTGGGTGACAGGATGGGTGGCAGGGATGGGTGGGTGGGATGGGTGGTAGGGATGGGTGGCAGGGATGGTGGGTGACAGGATGGGTGGCAGGGATGGGTGGTAGGGATGGGTGGCAGGGATGGGATGGGCAGGATGGTGGCAGGGATGGTGGCAGGGGATGGGTGGCAGGGGTGGGTGGGCGACATCACAGACGACCTTGGAGGTGAATGTCCTGAGGTCATACAGAAATACCGCAGTCTGGCCTCTCTCTCTCCCTCACCACTCTCACTCTCTCTCTCTCTCCCTCACCACTCTCTCACTTTCTCTCCCTGTCTCTCTCCCTCACTCTCTCCCTCACCCTCCCTCACCCACCACCCTCACCCATGAGCTCTTATAAGGTAAGAACATTAACCTCGACTCAATCTTCACAAACTTGTCAAAAAAAAAATCCACTTTTTTATTTATTTTTTGACATCATAAAGAACATGAGTTATCAATTAATGACGAGCGTGTGTGAATGTCTGTCTCACACACACACACACACACACACACACACACACACACACACACACACACACACACACACACACACACACACACACACACACAAAGGGTCGTACAGTTAGTATAATTTCAATGTTTATCTCAAATCGATCAGTTACGAGGGATTTATTTACCGTAAGACTCCTTGAGGCTCTAGACAGTGTTATGGTTGGGAAGGTAGGAGCCTCAGGAGCCTTAGGAGCTTCAGGAGCCTCAGTAGCTTCAGTAGCAGGAGCCT